TTGGCTTCTACCACATTCTAGATGCTCACAGAATAAGGCTGCTCTTGGACACAGATCTGCTAGTGAATCAGAAAATCAAATCCAGCTGCACAGGCAAAAGAAATCCAGAAGAGGGAACTGGTGGATGGATAGGCGGCAGGTTAAGATGGGGAACATGGCAGGCAGACAGCAGTTGAATAAACTGAGTCAGTCGGTCAAGCCAAGCTGAAGTCCTAGGGCAATTGGGAATTCTCTCCCAGCATCCCCGCTGTCTGATTGAAGGTCAGTGAGGCTGTTGCCACAGCAGTGTTAGTTATCCACCACTTAAAGCAGCCCAGGGAGAGAGTCACACTCTTTTCTTGGTCTGGTGTGTCCAGTAAGCTCTTGGTCCTGATTCCACCAGTAGTTTTAATATGCATGTGTGCTGTAACAGTCTCAATTCATCCTGATAAGCGTGTAGGACAGCAAGCACCCTCTCTACTCCCAGGGGCAAGTGTCTTTTCAGTCTGTGCTACATGGGTGCTGTCGGACATGGTGTGGTTTGCATGTCTACCCATATGTGCAGTCATCCTCTACCCTTGAAATGGAGTCAATGTCTGAGGGCAAGGCACGGCCTGAAGAGCTACTGTGTCCATGGTGTGGAGTTACTAGAGCAGGGCACAGCTTGGTGTCTACCTCAGACTTCTGCGCAAGCGCTTTCCTGCTGAGCCCTCCCCTGGCCCCAGAGTACCTTTAGTTATGTTTCACTTTCTGAGACAGGGTCTCACTTAGTCCAGGATAGCCTTGAACTCCTGATCCTCTTGCTTCCACCTCCAAGTGCTGGGATTAGAGGTGTGCACCACCATGACCTGACTCCATCTTGCCTTCCCCCATACTCTCCAGTGTGATAGCAGAGTTATTAAGGTCTGCTGTCCCTAACAGGGCATGTTCAGCTGTCCTCAGAAAGCCAATTACAGGGATAAATTAGTAGTGAAAAGCAAGAGTGAGTGAGACAGAGGAGAGAGGTACAGACCCAGTCAGCGTGGCCACACTGAGAAGAGGGACAGAGAGATTCACTGACTGTTACTCGTGCTCTGAGTCCATCTTCAAGGTCCTGGCATGTTGTACAGGTTTAAGTAAATAGCTAGAGTTACACACAACTAAGCAGCTCTAGTCAGGGTGCGGTCCTGTCCACAGACCCGCCATCACTAACCCATCATTGTCTTAGCCCCAGTTTTTCCTGCAAGATCCTCTTGACAGGTTGTAGGTCTCCTTCTGGGAGACCAGTCTCTCCTCTGCCTGACCCTGGGCTTCAGTTGTTTTCTCCTCCCAGCATGAGAATTCCATTTCTTGGAGGCCATGGTTTCAGCTGAGAGCCAAAGTGAGGGACGCTGTCTTTGAGAATATCCCTGATTCTGTCCATCTGGCTGACAGGCGCTCTACTATTGATTCTTACAAAGTTTTCTAATTTTGATTCTGCATGTGCCCAAGACCATCTGGTACCAGTTGCTGTTGTGCCTTTAAGGACAACAGCCTGTCTTGGTCCTAGTGAGCTTTATTCAGGGTCCTGGGCTGCAGGATGGTTAGCAATCACCATGTCAGCAACGAAGGAACAGACAGGGTTCTACCTCCTCACCCTCAGCAGCCCTAGGAGTTCTCCTAGACTTTAGGGACCCTAAGTCGGGCCTAACCAGGACTGGTGGCTTTGACAATGAAAAGAGACTAGCCAGCGAAGTGAAGCTGTTTTCACATATTCTAGCCCAAGAGTTAAGTGAAAGAGACACTCAGAGAAAGGATGTGTCCAGATGTGGATATGCGCTTCCTGAGGGAGAGTTGGGGAAAGTAATTAATGTCTTGATATTAACTTTATGCAACAGTTCGGGGACTCTCAAGGTTGCTAAGAAACCTTTTTTTTTTTTCTCTTTTGTTAAGTGAGATAAATGAATGACTACAGAATGCCTTGAGTGGAATTATGGAGGTAAAATCAGAGGCAGTAGGTCTGCGTGGGAGTTAGTGGGGCCCCTTCCCTTTCCTGCCAGTAGCTTCCTGGGGAGTTTCCTAGAAAGTTCTAGGCTAATGGCTGAGAAGGAAGCAGGGTTAACACGGTTGGTAATCATGCTGGAACTCTTGCTTCTCTGCTGGCAGAGGCTTCAGTTGGACTCCAGGGTAAGGGAGCTCTTTTCCCTTCTTGGGTCCCCATAATTTTTCCTGCTTTCTGGCCTGCTTCAGCCAGGTCCCCCCAGCCAGGGGCTCGAAAGTTCACATCCTCTCATGTTGATGCAATGAGGAATAAAGACTTGGGAGTGAGGAAAATGAAAGAAAATTTATCAAAGAAAGTGGGATTATTGTTTCATTTTATTGTCATCTTTTTTTTTTTTTTTTTTTTCGAGACAGGGTTTCTCTGTGTAGCTTTGGAGCCTATCCTGGCACTCCCTCTGGAGACCAGGCTGGCCTGAACTCACAGAGATCCGCCTACCTCTGCCTCCAGAGTGCTGGGATTAAAGGCTTTTATTTATCTTATTGTATTATATTTTATTTTATTATTCCTTAGATGCCTGTTTGTTTTCTAACTAGAGACAGAAAGTTTATGGCCAGGAGGGGAGGTGGGGAGGAACTGGGAGGAATGGCGGGAGGGACTGTAATCAGAATATATTGTATGAAAAAATTTATTTCAATAAAAGAAAAAAGAAGAGAGGGAGATTAACTCCCAACTGGCCTTCCCAAGAGAGGGATACATATGCACTCCCACCTAGGTTAATGGCATTTTATGGGACTTATGTCAGTGACTGAATAGAGACTGAGGTAATCTTTATTGAGATTAGTCATCATTTTTTATTGTGTTAATTAATTTAAGGTGTGTGTGTGTGTGTGTGTGTGTGTGTGTGTGTGTGTGTGTGTGTGTGGGTGTGTGGGTGTGTGTGTGTTTCACGCACTGGCTCAGGCACCACAGTAGATGTGTGGAGGTCAGAGGGAAGCTTGGGGAAGTTAGCTTCCTCCTTCCTTCATGTAGCTCCTGAGATGGAGTCAGGTCACCTGTCAGGCTTGGTGACAGGAGCCTTTGCTTTCTAAGCCATCTTGCCTGCCTCAAGACTAATGGTTCTTTGAGGACGCCGTGGACCTAATTGGTGAGCAATCCAGCAGGAGAGGCAATCACGTGCTGCTCGTTCAATCAGGGTCATCTTTGTGCCTCTCTCTCTTCTCTCTCCCCTGCCTCTCTTTCTCATTTTACTGGTTTTGTAGGCTACTGATTGAATCACATCTCTCTCTTGTTCGTGGGCTACATTGATAGACTAGCTTATGGTTCACCATGGGCCATGGCCCTCCCTTTCTGTGGGAGCTCAGTCCTGTCTTGCCACAATGGGACTGGTTTATTTTTCTCACACTGTGTCTTTCAGTTCCATCCATATTGTCACAAATGATAGTATGTCATCCTTTTATGGCTGAATAATGTACACCATATACAATGTCTATGTATATACCGCATCTCTCTATCCATTCCTCCATTGATGGACACCTAGGTCTCTGCTATGATCAATGCTGCAGTAAATGTGATTTCATTTCCTTTACACAGTAGCAGATTGCTGGGTCACATGGCAGTCCTGCAAATCTACCATGCCGTTTCCCGAAATCACAATACTAATTCACAATCCTCTGACGGTAGTCAGCCCTTGCACAATTGCTGTCCCCTTGTGGTTCTGGTTTACACAAACCTGATAATTTGATGTTAAGCATTTTCTCATAGAGGTCTTGACTGTCCTAACTCTATTTGCTTAAGCTTATTGCCCATTTTAAGTCAGATTATTTTAATGCTGTTGGATTGAGTTCCTTCTATATTCTAAATATTAACCCTCATCAGATGCATAGTTCACAAATATTTTCTCCCATCCTGTGGGCTGTCTCTTCACCATGCAAAAGCTTTTTAGTTTAATATTATCTCATTTGCCCGTTTTTCATTTGTTTCTTGCTTTAAGAGTCTTATCCTACTTTCAACAAATTTGAGGTTGATTTTTGTCAATTTGACTAATCTAGGGCAAATCTTTGTTTTCAGAGGTTCAGTCCTCCCTCAGTGTTTCTAATGGATAGATCAGAAATGAAGAATAATTAAAAAGCCAGGGCTTAGTTGTGTTGCCCTAGATTGGGTGTACCATGACAAAAACAGTTACAGTTGAGGAATTTGCCTTGCTGTGCGCCTGTGACTTTTGTCTGTGTGAACCGAGTGCTGCAGAGGAGAAATGATGGCAGTGTAAGACACCAAAGCAGAGAAAAAAGATGGATTGTAGCAAATAATCATCTATATGGTATATGTATGCATATATCAGAGCCAGCTGGTCGTCCCCCCCCCCCCGTGATAAGGGAAAATATAGCAGTAGAGGGAGATGGAAGCAAGAGGGTCACATGATAACCTGTATCCAAACCAGAAGATGGTGGGAATAGAGCATGCTGGGATACTGTGAAGTCACAACTGTGTGGCTCTCCTCAATCTAACCATCTGCAGTGAACTGTTCACTTTCTGTATGGATCCTTCCAGTCTCTTTTCTTGAATATATGCTCAGTATCCTTCAGATACGTTCTCAAGCCTGTGTCAAATATATTGTCCTAACCATTCTTCATGTTTATATGTCATGAACAGTTTCTCATGTCAATGAATAGGTTACTTTTTCACTGCTGTACTGTACTCCATTATGTATAATAAACCTGACCAATCTCCTCATTGTTTCTATGTTTTTTTAAACAATATGTATTTATTTTTATGTATATACATGTTTGCCTGCGTGAATGTATGTGTACCATGTGCATTCAGGAGCCTGCTAAAGTCAGAAGAAGTAAGTATTAATTAGATTCCCTGAAACTGGAGTTATGGACAGTTGTGAGCTGTCGTGTGGGTTCTGGGAACCAAACCCAGTCCTCTGAAAGAGCAGTAAGCACTAAGCACAGCTGAGCATCCCTCCAGCCCTGTTTCAGTGTTTTGGTCATGCAAATAGAAGCGGAGTAGTATGGATACTAAGGAAAGTGTGGCCTTATGTTCTCTTGTTTTCCTCTAGGTTTTGGACTGCCCTCTTGCATCAAACCTTGGTTGTCATAGTCCTCTGAGTGTCGTCTTAGGACCTGGGTCACCCTCATGGCACAATGGCCAACCCTCAGGAGCACCTTAGCTGCTCCTTTTCACCACACTTGCCCTTGACCGAGAATAAAACCTCCAGTGGACAAAATGAGCTTGCAGCTATGGGGAACCACCCTTCCCCCAAGCTCCCTGAGGACCTCCAGGAGAAGGCTATGCAGTCAGAGCTGATGGATCTCACAGGCAGCCCCTTCTCTACAGCAGTGTTGACCAGTGTAAGCGAGGATTCCAGGGGCCAGTTTGAGAACAGTGTTCTTCAGCTAAGGGAACAGGATGAATCGGAGATGACTGTGTCTCCGGGGAACAGCAGCACTGTGGATGGAGAGAGCACAAACGGAACTGAAGACATCAAGATTCAGTTCAGCAGGTCAGGCAGTGGCGGGGGCGGGTTTCTCGAAGGACTGTTTGGATGCCTCAGGCCCGTGTGGAACATCATCGGGAAAGCATATTCCACCGATTACAAGCTGCAGCAGCAAGGTAAGCTAGAACTTGAGTGTACTGGAAAAGTACTTCTTAGACCACACTAACTCTACCATCACCAGTAACTGGGTAATCTTTAAGGAGTAAACCAACAGTGAGGTCAGGTGACCACCCTTTCTGAATAGAACAAAGTCATACTTGGGGGTTCCTTTTTACTGGAAGCCAAATAGACTGTGTTGTCAGTCAGCTAATGGTGTATAGAATAGAGTACACACATGTGGTCATAAAGGAAGCGGTAGAGCTTCCATTTGTTTTGTCTCATTTAAGATTTCTATTTTCATACATGTCTTTGATGATATAGAAATATAACTTATGAATAATTGACATCGTGAGTGAGTTTAGGTTTCTTACTGGTAATTTATAGTCCCAAAAATGTCTGATGGCCAGAGTCAGGTACAGTAGATAGCATGTGTTTATAGTCTCAACTATTCTGAAGCTGAGGCAGGAGGATTACTTGAGCTTAGTTAGGCCAATCCTAAGCAACATAATGAGACCACCATCCAAAAAACAAAAACAACAGTGGCCACTGGACTAATTCAAAACCAAATCAACACCATGCTATCCCTTAAAATTCCAGAACTGCCCTACATTGTAATAAAAGGTAATTCTTGCCTTGCAGTAAGGGCACAGCAGCCTCATACTTTTTGAGGGCAGAAACTAGCCAAGTTTGAGAAGCATATAATTTCTAAAATCCTGAGTCTTAAATGCCCATCATCAAGCAGCATATATTCATACATTCCAGTTTGAAGTAAAAGAATCACATGCTCTTGGTGTTGTAAAGAGTTTACTCTCTAAAAGGAAATGACTCAGGTTCCCGCCAAAATTAAAACAATCTGTCATCCTTATCTTAGGAACAATTATCATTAATATTTTAAGACTGTGTCAGAAGCCGGGGGTTGGTGGCGCACGCCTTTAATCCCAGCACTCGGGAGGCAGAGGCAGGTGGATCTCTGTGAGTTCGAGACCAGCCTGGTCTACAAGAGCTAGTTCCAGGACAGCCTCCAAAGCCACAGAGAAACCCTGTCTCGAAAAACAAAAACAAAACAAACAAACAAAAAGACTGTGTCAGGCTGGACATAGTGGTACATGTTTAATCCCTGTATTTGTGAGGCTGATGGAGGAGAATCATAAATTCAGGGCTAGTCTGGTCTACATAGTGAGTTCTAGATCAGCTTGGACTACATAATGAAACACTGTCTCAAAAACCATGGGAATAAATGTGCTATGATAGTAATTTCAAGGTTAGCCTAAGTAACTTACGAAGACCATGTCTGGGAAAACATGAGGGCCTGGGGATGTAGCTTAGTACTAGAGCCCTCAGTTGGCATCCTCGAGGCCATGGGGACCTCTAGCACTGAAAAAGAAAGGCATATGTTTATTTCATATTGGGAAGGTTTTTCCATTTCTGAATGTAACTCTTCAGCAGCTTTTATTTGTTTTCTGATTTGGGGCAGTGCTGGGAATTGAACCCAGTATCATACATATGCTAGACAAAGTTTCTATCATTGATATATAATCTATACCCCTTCAGTAAGCATAATTTCTTACACGTATGAGTGTTCACATATGAATTTATGCCAGAAGATGATATCAGGTCCCCCTAGAAATGGTTGTGAGCCACCATGTGGTTGCTGGGAGTTGAACTCAGGACCTCTTGAAGAGCAGCCAGTGCTCTTAACCACTGAACCATCACTCCAGCCACAGCAAGCATAATTTTTTTTTCTAGCAAGCATAATTTTAATAGCCATATAATATGTAATTATTTAAATGTGCTGATGTTTTTTAAGCAATCCCTTTGGTTTGATACTTGTTTGTATTTTCAGTAATTATAAACTACATTACAATGAATGTGGTCTGTTATTGTTTTGTTTTGCTTTGTATGGTGTGTGTGTGTGTGTGTGTGTGTGTGTGTGTGTGTGTGTGTAGGTGGGGGATGGAACATGTCCAGGTCAGAAGATAATATTGGAGAGGGGTGTGGGTGTCTTGCTAAAGTTCAAACCAGAGCTCCACACAGACCAGACAATGTTCTGCCTCTGAGCTATACCCTAGCCCTTTATTTATTCATTTGTAAATTTTGTTTTTTGGGGACAGGGTCTTGCTTTGTAGCCCTGGCTGTCCTTGGATTCATTATGTAGCCCAGGCTGGCCTCTAACTCGAAGTAGCCCTTCTGCCTCAGCCTCCAGAGTGCTGGGATATGTCTCACCATGCCTAGTCTTAATTTGTTTTAGAAGAGTTTTGTTCTCTACCTCTCACAGAACCAACTAAAAATCTATCTCCATAAGATATGTTTGGTTCTTGGAGCCTCTACTTGTCCAGTCTTGGGCTAATTTGTCTCCTCTTAAAGATCTCTGTATGCAAATGCATCACTGATACATGCATATACGCATAAAGTACAAAAAAACAATACTAAATAAATAATTTGTTTTTAAAATCAGAAGCATATGCTGTATAAGCTTGACGACCTGAGTTCCATCTCCAGAACTTGTGGTAGAAAGAGAGAGCTGATGCCCAAAAGCTGTCCTGTGACTTTCACACACATGAACACACGCGTGCACATACACATACACACACTCATGTGCCCACATGCATATGCACACTGTAATAACTAAAATTTTTAAAAAGCAAAACAAAAGTCCCTTAAATGTATCTACAATTTGTGACTAGCCTACAATTTGTGATCCTCCCAAATCTCACTGGGCATCATTTGCTTCTTTGGTGATTTCACATTTGTGAGCTGTTTATTTTGCTGAGAGACTGGTTTGTTACACAGCATCTGTTCATTTTCAATAGGACAGAACCTTTACTCAGAATCCACTGTATCTTTTCCTACAGTGTGAGGGCTGGAGAGTGGCTCGGTGGTTAAGTTAATGGTCCTCCATTAAGTTAAGGTCATGCTTTAGTGGTTGTAATGAAAAACCACATTTTATTATGACCTGAGAGAACTGAAGAGGGTACCTCTGTCTCCTGGATACTGAGTAACTCTCCCTCCCCCTGATGGATGCCATGGTGCATCAGAGCCAAGAACTCAGGGCTACATCCATTAGTGGTTCAGAGCCATTTGCTGGTGAGGCTGGAATCTCTCGTGGCCTTTAAATTGAGGTCATTGTCCTCCTCAAACTGGAGCTCCTCGCCCTGCTGTGTTTATTTCTTGCAGTAATGTTCTATTCAGAAGGGAGAGGGACATTGAGGAGGACCAGTGGGTGCATTCCTTCTCAGGTTTTGAAAGATAAAAGTAACCACTGATGAATTTCTGAAGTGTTATGTTTAAAATAGAATCTTAAGTTGTGAGTGGTGGTACAAGCCTGTAAGCTTAGGATTAAGGAAGTAGAGGCAGGAGGGTCAGGGGTTCAGGGTAATCCTCTGTTATACAGAGGCCAGTCTAAGCTACCTAAGACCCTGTCTCAAAAATAAAATAAATAGCATTTTACTCATTATGAAAATGCTAAAAGCTTGTGTTTGAAAAACTAATACAGAAAAAGATAAATATAGTATCAGTTACCAGTAATATCAATATTTAGGATTGATCCCTTGCACTGCTCTTGCAAGAGGACCCAAGTTCAGTTCCCAGCACTCAGGTCAGTTGGCTCACAATCACCTTAACTCCAGCTCCAAGGAGTTTGAGACCCTCTTTGGGCTTCCAAAGGCACCCATGTGTATGTATGTGACAGACTCTCACGGAGACACATATACATACAAAGGAGTAAAGCTGTTTGAAATATTATTTAATAGAAAGCAAAAGTTGAAAGCATTGCAGTTATGTGGGTGGACAGGTTGTGCCCAATAGCCAGGGCCATCTCAGCCCCAGCATGCACAGCAGTGCAGGAGAGTGGAGAAGATCCTGTTCCTAGAATGGGCCAGGCCTGTCCAGATTACCAGTCATCTGACCTTGAGTAGTCACTCAGCCTCTGCGCCTTAGGGTTCTCATTGTGAGAAGGCCAGTGGGCAAAAGCACTTGCAATGCATGCCTAAGGACCTGAGCTTATCACCAGATCCTGGATTGGAAGAAGAGAACTGACTCCCAAAGGTTGTCCTCTGGCCTCTGCATGATGTTTCTGTGCATGGGTGCATGTTCACAGACACACAGACACATACACCAATAGTAGTAAGTGGATTTAAAAGATTAAGGCCAGACATACAGAGATGGTAAGAGTTAAACATGGCATGCAAATCACTGTGCAAGTCTCTGGTATGTGATAAGTCCTCAGTAAAGGGTAAACACTGAGAAGTGTTTGCATAGCCAGGTTGTTGGGAGGATACCTTTGACAGTGTATTCAGAGAGGATTCATTGAGCATCTGCATGAGACATTCAGAAGAATGAAAAAGCACCTGTGGTGGGGTAGGGATGGAGTGTGAGGACAGAAGAAGGTGACTGGGTATAACGTTTAACCTGGGAAGGAGAGGGTGCAGGAGTGTCGGGTTGTGGGGTGTCAATATAGGTTTCTAGAGGAAGGTCTCCTGAGATCTCAAACCTGATTTAGTTGAGCAGTTAAAAATGCATATTTGTCAATATGTACCAAGTACCAAGTACTAAGTACCAAGTACTAAGTAGTACCAAGGCTCAAAGGAAGGTCACATCCTTTGGTGGGAATCAGGGTAGGGACGGTAGTTCCCAATGGGGTGAAGCTGGGATCTTCAGAGTGGCCCATAGAATGGCCTCAATAGATTCTGAGCTTGCTTCTCGCTCATGTGCCTAGATACTTGGGAAGTGCCATTTGAGGAGATCTCAGAACTGCAATGGCTGGGTAGTGGAGCCCAGGGAGCTGTCTTCCTGGGCAAATTTCGAGCAGAGGAGGTGGCCATCAAGAAGGTGAGAGAACAAAATGAGACGGACATCAAGCATCTGAGGAAGCTGAAACACCCTAACATCATCGCATTCAAGTAGGTCATTGTCGCTTTGTCGGGCTATCTGCTTGGTTGTTTAGCCGATTGGCTGGCTTTGTTTGGGGACTGGTTTTAGAGGGGTTTTTGTTTTGGCTTTTAGAGAAATAGAGCTATTTTCTTCCTCCATTGTGTCCATATAAGTTCCTGCTTTAGAAGATATTTCAGAAGCCCTTAATAGGCTTAGCACAGTGCTAGGGGCTTTGGTAGGGTGCTAAAGGATTATCAAGCCTGAGTCATACTCTCAGGCTCTTTTAATGTAGTTCACCTTCCAGGGGCATATGCTGTTTGTACAGGATGCACACAGGCCAGAGAGGAGGAAGGAAAGTCCTGTCACACGAAATAGATCAGCCTCACCAATAGGACTTCAAAGGTCACTCACAGTAATCCAAAACAACATCCTGAAACTCAGTTAAGACAGTTCTGGCATCAGAAGCAATAGAGCTGATCCCTGTGTGACATATACTTATTAGTTTCCAAGAACTCCTTCTTAAACAGTAACTTATAAAGACGGGTACCTTTATACTATAGCCTCAGGCTTCACCTCAGCCCTTTCCTAGAAAAGCCAAACATGGGTTTCTAAATCCAATTACAGAATCATTGGTGATACATTCATTTCACAAAGCAGTTGTGTCCAAGTATGTGTGTGAAACCCAAGGTTTCTTAAATTCCTTCTGCTCACAGCCCTTTCTTGCACATATAAGCCAAGCATTTACTAATACCGAATCACAGAGAAATTTAACAATTCTCCAGTATATGTATGCTTTTACCACTTGTTACGCACTAAGGAAGTTCCCATGCTAATCAGATGGATGTGTTGGTTTGTTTTTACATAAAGAGTTAAATCTTGACTAAATAATGCTTCAGAGTTGCCTGATACTTTGATTTCATAGCTGTCCATGCTGAGAACAGCACTCACACACATACATAGTAAAACATGACAGAAGTGTGTTCAGGGCTGTCTCAAAAATCCCTGGAAATTCTGTCCTAATCCCAAGGAAAAATTAATTTAATGGCCTTTTATGAATCTCAGGTCAACAACCCAAATAGTCACTTTTGGATCAAGCATTTTAGGGCTGAGGAAATGGCTAGAGAGTAAAGCACTCGTTGAAGACCCGAGTTTGAATCCTAGCGCCCTAATCTCTGTGTATTAGGGCGTAGTATGCCTGTAACCCCGGTGCTGAGAAAGCAGAGACACATTCCTGGTGGTCACAGACTGGCCAGTCTGGACAAAACAACAAGCCCCAGATTCAGTGGGAGATACTGTCTAAAGAAATACGATGAGGTGTTTAAGGAGGACACTCTAATGTCAGCCACTGGCCTCCAAACATGCCTGTAGGCCAGCACCCCTGCACACACACATACACACATACACACATGCATGAGCCCAAGAACTAAAATCAAGCATAGCACAGTAGAATTCAAAGGTAGACTAATTTGCACTTACATGCTAAAGAATGATGACAAGTGCTAAAAGTATTTGTTTTCCATAATTATTATCTTTCTATATGAATAGAAAACTGTACAGTACAAACTGTAACCCATAATGTGTAGTCAGTCTTTTGTCTGAGCTGAGCTTTTCCAATGTTTGTTGGTGTTATGTGCTAACAGCAGGCATGGTGCAAAGGGAAGCAGGGCCATAGAGAAGTTGGGGCGCACTCAAATTCACTGTACATTTGATTTTGGATCCATTTTATTCATTGGGCATTCAGAAACCTGTTACTATTACCAGATGTTTTCTGACCCCTACCACATGGGATTACAATGCACAGTTTAAGAAGGGTCCTAGTTGAAGAGGCAGGCCAAGGGTAAATCTGTGGAAAGCAGTGGAGTTGGAAGGCAGCTATGCTCACCGCTGCCCCGCCAATGCACTGCAGCACCGAGGCTGGAAGTACTAAGTGCTGAGCTCAGCTGTGTTTATGGCTGCCTAAGCCGCTCCCTTGAACTCCCTCCCTTATCTGTCTTTATATTATCCATCCCACAAGCCTGGACAAGGGAAAGGAACTGACTTTAAAAGAGGAAGAATGAAGAACAGGAATTGTGGCCCAAGTGAGACAAAAGATGGGTCTTTGGCATGTTTGACTGAATTTTAAACTCCTAGGAGATAGTTTGGTACAACCAAAGAGGCTTTTGTGGACATAGAAAAGCTTTGAGCATCTCCTTCCTTAACCTAGAAGCAACTTTCCCCAGAAGCCCCAAGGGCTCTTCCTCTGTGAAACTGCTATCATAAGGAAAGATGTCATGTGACTTATAAGTCTTAGTTGGATTCCTCTCCCCAAAGAAAGCAAAAGAATTAATTCTTGAGACAGCCTTGTGGGATGTGCTTTTGATTCCCTGATGAGAACCCTCACAGCAAGGAAAGGAGGTGGGAAGAGGCAGCACACCAGCAGGTCTTCAGATGACAGCCACTGTCATGATCCTGTCATCAACTGCCCTGAAGAAAATGAAGTGCTACAAAGGCTAACTGTAATTTTTCCAGAGCCAATAAATTTCTAGTCAATGGGTGTATAGTTTTCAGCAGACAGATAAATGGAGAGCACTGTCCTGCGCTGAAATAATGGTGCCTTCTGCACACTCTTCTTTCCTTCATTAAAGACTGTGACAAGAGCTTTGAACTCAGATCCCTAGGATCGACTGTGGTGTGCCTTTGGGCTTTCTGGAATTCAGTGATCTATGTGTCACTGGTCAGGGAGCGTCCCAGGAGTATGCCTGGGAAACAAGAAGTAGAAGCTATACTGAGAGGAGACAGTGTGTTGCTGTTTTTTCCTTCCTACTGTTTTCCCCACCTTGCCCGTCCAACCTTATACCTACACCACATCATCCAGCATTGTTGGGTTTGAGTACCTGTTCTGGAGCCCAACTCCCTAAGCTGAACACATTTGATTCATCTCTCCCACTACACATCCAACAGTAGTGAGTCAATGACGCCCACGCCAGGGTCATTGTGCAGTGTCATGTTTACAGCCATTGTACCATTTGTTGCTTTGGTCAATGAATCACATTCAAGACTGTCTGGAAGGCATGGTTGGATTTTTGGCACATTTTTTTTGGTGTTTATAGATTCCTTTGAAATTAGTAAGAACCACACACAAAAGGAAAGTAAAAGAATACAAGTCATTTTTCCTTCTTATTTTTTAAGAAAGCCCAACCTGACTGTTTCTAATAAAATCCAATCCTAAGTGAAGAGAAGGTAGCAATTAGAAGTGATGATAAAGCTGTTATTTCTAGCTGCCTAGGAGCCTTGTCACTGGTGGGATGACTGTTCCTCGTTTGTCACTGTAGGAAGAAAGTTCACACGATGTCTGTAGACCATGTCTGTCTATATGACATTGAGTAGATACTGAGTCCACCAGGCATGTTCATCCTTGCATTCTTACATGGATTTCATTATTCCCCACGTGGTTTCTATGTCATGATTAATTATCTATTTGTAGTTATTTTTCACTGAGCTTTCCAAAAACAACTAAAAAACATTTCCATTAAAAATCAAGAATTCTAGGCATCCTAGATAAAAGAATAATTGAAAGGCTGGTGATGTAACTTAATTGGTAAAGTGTTTGTCTGGCATACACAAGGCCCTGGGTTTGATCCCTGGCACTACATAAACTGGGCATGGAAGTATATGACTGTAATATTAGCATGTTGGAAGTAGAGGCAGGAGAGTCAGAAGTTTAAGGTCATTCTCCTCTACATAGCAAGTTTAAGGCCAACCTGGGATACATCAGACTCTGACTAAAAATTAAAACTTAAAAAACAGAAAATGAATAAATAAATGTGATTGAAAAAGGGAGAAAATAAAATATAAGCAAGAGTAATTGAAATGTCTCTGTGGAATTTGATAAGGAAAAAGTCTATAGTTGTCCCTCATACACAAATCCTCACCTAACGTGTATACCCACGTATGTGAACAGACGTACATATGGGTCCCGTGTTACCATAGACGGGAGAGCAAGAAAGGGTGTATTGGGTGATGAAGGCCTGGATGCAGGTGATGGGAGCTGGGATGGTGAAAGCGGATGTGAAGCTAACCGTTTCTCTAGTTCTAACTCTGTCATGGACCTTTCAGTTTTGGTGGAAATGAAATGTGTGACATGACTCCATTCTGGGACAAGTATTATTTTCAAGGACTTGCTTAGGCTGGGTATTCATGGGTACATAAAGATATACTCATGGGTGAATTTTAGGATTCAGTATGGAGTTCCACAGCTCCAGAGTGACTTTTCTAACTATATGGATGCTGGGTTTGATGAGAGCCTCGGGGCGAGCAGAGTGAAGACTGTCAGCACCTCGTGGTGAACCCCTTCACCACTTCCCACAGCCTGAGAGACAGGGCATGAATAGGAAGCCAGCAGAAGACAGTCTGTCTTGTCTCTAGTGCTCTAGTCCCTTCCCTGGAGGGAGGTCTGAGTATACTTACAAGATAGATCCATCTTGAAAACAGAACTATGAAGCAAAGTTAATATTACTCCTAGTTTAGTGAACTGATGGTGTTAACATAGGGATCCCCAATATGATTGTTTATGCAAAAATTTAAAACAGAGTATAATATGGTGAGAGCAGGGGCCTGGGCTTTGAAGCTAGACTTGATTTGGGTCTGGGCACTGTCGCTGATTGTGTGGATTAGTTATGGTAAAATAAGTCCCCCCTTTCACCCCATGCCTTTCCTATAAACATAGAAGAGGTCAAGTCTATCACTGTGAGGATTTCAGACAGATGAAAGAGAACACAGAAATGTGCCTGAAAAACAACAGCTTCTTTCTTGAAGTACGTTCCTCCTACCCATGTCTCCCTCAGTGTAATTTACTCAGTGTAAAGCCGAAGTGAAGTTAAACACGTCAAGGACTGGCAGGAAACCTCCAGGCCTGTTAGAAAAGAGATCCTGAACTCATGTCTGCTCAGAGAAGAGAAAGACCATTTGGAATTGTGTAATCAGGAAAAGTTTGATGGAAGCTACAGGGACTAATGGGACTATCCCCTGCATAGATGTTTAATATGACATAATGTTATCCTTATTCTAAATCTTGTTCACAGAAATATATGGAAGATAAAAATTTGATTCATTTGCTTACTTTTTCTTTATTTTTGTGCTCAGTCTAATTATTTTAAATTGAGTAATTTAAAATTTAACAAGCAATCATAAAAAAACCTTAATTTTAATTGTCTGCCCATTACAAATAAAATCTGTTTATGTTTAAGAGGAACATATGTTTTAATGATTAAAAACAACAGAGCACCCAACCTATCCGAGCCTCAGGAAAGAGTGCCTTGTCCCAGAGTGGAATGGTGTCACAGGAGACCACCAGATTAGCACAGGCTGCTGATAATCTAAACTTAAGAATAATAAAACAGAAACTGCCTATGTGCATACCAGGGAAACTGGTAGACCACAAAGATACTGTGCCTATTTAAGAATCAAGAACTGTTATCTATATGAGTTTTGATATCATTTTATTCAGCAGTCTCGAGATACAGATATGGATGCGTGTATATTTGTCTGTATTTATGTACATATTATGTTTTCTTCAAAGGGGTGTCTGCACTCAGGCTCCATGCTATTGCATCATCATGGAGTACTGTGCCCATGGACAACTTTATGAGGTCTTGCGAGCCGGCAGGAAGATCACACCTCGGTTGCTCGTGGACTGGTCCACAGGAATTGCTAGTGGGATGAATTATCTCCATCTTCATAAAATCATACATCGAGACCTCAAGTCACCAAAGTGAGTTCTAGACAAAGATACATCTGGCTTGCTAAACCAGGAGGTTTCGCTACATACTTAAATTTATAGCCTGTATGACCCCACTTTCATCTCAGAAAAGTTTCAGTGTGTGTGTGTGTGTGCGCGCGTGAGTGTGTGTGTGTGTTGATTCTGTATGTACAAATGTGTGTGTGTGTGTGTGTGTGTGTGTGTGTGTGTGTGTG